TTAGTCAGATATGAAAACAAGGTGTGAACTGGACGACTCACAAAAATGCAGTAAAGAACGAGAGAATTGTTTTATTCAGTGAATAAGGTTCAACGCAGACGCACTACACCCTATCCCAAGGCAACCTCCCCTACGTCCGCCCAGGAGTGCAGTTCGTGTTGAGACTGAACATGCTGGATTCCGCAATCGATGGGTTGTCGTCAGTACCGCTTCCGTCGGTCCCAGGGGATCGTGTTAGAGATCTCCAAGTCCGAAGTAGCGTCGCGGACTCGCGGCCCATCGAGGCCCGATTCTTAATCTGAGTCCGGGCTCTGACTTGAGGCCCGTTGGAAGGATGACGCCTTGGCTCTCTCGGTGCGCAATCTGGCCCTGCTCTTGGCCTTGGTCTTGTCTGGTCTGGTCTATTCTGGTGTACCGTTCAGGTCTGGTCTGAACTAGTCCGTTCTGTTCCGGGTCTGGTCTGGACTGTAGTGGTCCTGGTCTGGTCTGTACCGTACCGGGACCGGTTTAGTCTGTCCTGGGTCCGGTCTGGTCTGTTCTGACGAATGTGCGTGGCCAGGTCCGCCTGCGCCCCCACCAGTGAGCCCGGTTGGGCGGTTCAGCTGGTCAAGCGCGCATCTTCCCGCTAGTGCGCACAGTTCCATTGGTTGAGGATCGCAGGATAGTAGATAGGGACAATGTGAATCTCGTTAATCCACCCACGCGCGTTACCAATAGGATGACATGGCTACTCCCCCTGCCGTTCCTTCAAAGTCCGTCCCCGTGGCTGTGGTATCGCAACATTCCTTCCCCGCTGATTCGTTCGAGCCTGTTCCCTTGGCTAAGGTCTCATAGGGTGATAGATAGAACAGTGAGGGTCTCGTTGATCCAGAGTCGCGCGTCACTAATTAGGTGACGTGGCACTTATATACCTTAGAGAGAGTCATGGTCACTCTCGCAGTTTACCCGCGCTTGATTGACCCGTCGATCCTCCCAAGCCCGTTCCGTTGCTCCCTCTCTCTCTCTCTTTCGCGCGATGCTCACTCCCCTGCCGCGTGGCTCATTTGTTGTTCGCACAGCGGCTCTTCACGCCCGTGCGCTGCACCTTCCTCCGTGCGACAGTCTTTCCCGGGTGGCTTCTTCTTCCTGCACGGTCCCTGCTACTCTGCACAACTTCTCCTTCTCTCTCTCTCTCTCTCTCTCTCTCTCTCTCTCTCTCTCTCTCCCCCTGCGCGCCCGTGTGACAACTTTCTTTGTGGGCGATCGTTTTCCCCCATGACAGCTTCTTCCCGCGACAACTTTTCCTTCGCGCAACAACCTTCCTCGGTGCCAGCTTCTCCCCCGTGGGCGGAGCTCGTGCGACGGCAGTCGCAGCTCTTACACTGCAGTCGAACTAGAGTCAGGTCCAACAGAACCTTCTTTCCAACCGATTCTTCCAAGCCCATTATTTCGACTGTGGTATTGCAGGATGATAGATAGAACTATAGGAATCACGTTAGTCCATTCAGTGTGTCACTAACTATATGGCAGACGTGGCACTCACGCAGTCGCTCGTAGCTCTTTCTGCTCTCCAACATATCCGCGCGCAGCGGATCTAGCTAGCGTGTTGTTCGATTTGTCCCACGCAGCTCTGCACTGATCGTATCCCGCCCGCGCCTGCTAGCGTGGACCTCCGCCCATGTGTTTGCTTGAGCTTAGTTATGAATGAATCTGGCGCTCTTTCGAGGTCAGGTTCGTTCAAGTGCTGTTTACTCGCTCTACGCGTCACTAATTAGGTGACGAGGCTAGCTTAGGAGAGCCAAAACTACTCCAGTTTATCCGTACTTGAGTGATCCGCTTCACTTTGACGTTCAGAGGTATCAAGCCCCGCTCGTAGGCTAGATGCGCGACCTTTCCTTTGCTCCTCTACGTAGAGTCACCTCTCGCTCGCTGTGTAACCGGCTGAACACGCTGAACGCGCGTTCACGTTCAAACGCGCGCGTTCATAACCCCTGGGGCCGCGTTCAATCACGTTCAAACGCGCTGCGTGCCACGTGGCGCGAAAAATTTGAACGCGACATCGGGGGGCGCGCGCGCGCTTTGCGGACTACGGGGTGGATGGCCTTGTTCGACAAACTACAGAAGTGCAAAAAAAAAAACCCGGGAGGCCCACCACCCCGTAGGGAGCGACGTCGCTGCTTGGGTTTGGCATGGGCCAATGCCCTAGATAAAACAGAAAAAAAATATATAAAAAATGTGTGTGAATGTGTGTGTGTGTGTGTGTGTGAATGCTCCTTTTTTTTTTCGGGGGGGAGTAGGGGAGTCCCCCTAACACGGCTCAGACGGCCCATGCAGGCTGTCTGAAGGGTCCTCGCAGCCAAATGGCACAGACCCCCCCACCAAAATCAAGGCAGGCAGTGAATATGCAGCTGGGCAGGAGCTGGCCGAATATATACTCGAGATTCGGCCAGCTCCTGCCCTGCTGCATATTCACACAGTTATGGGTTGTTCACGTAGCTAGGCCTGCCCGTAATTCTCAAGGCTTGGCTGCACTATTCACCGTATGTGCAAAACTAGAATGAATCTTCTGCAGAACGTGGAATAATACGCCGCCATATGTTTGTCTTTTTCTTTCTCGTTTTTTCTTTTCTTTTGTTTTTTTTTTTTCTTGTTTATCTTTTTTCTTGTTTTTCTTTTTTTCTCTTTTTACTTTTCTTAGGAATACGT